TAGTGAGAATGCCTTAAATGTATTCTCAGTAAGTAAGATGTTGTGGTATATTTTATTACATTAGAAAGTATCTAACAATCTTATTTTATTGATTTTAAAAAAATAGATACTGAATTGTATCAAAAGCCTTTTCAGGACCTGTGGAAATAATCTTATTTTTTCTTCCTTATATCTATTAATATGATAAATTATATTAATGGTCTTCTTAATATTGAACCATCTTTACATTTTTAGAATAAATCCATCTTGGTCAAAAGGTTCATTTTTTGTTTTTTAGTTTTAACAGACTTCATTTTTTAGAGAGGTTTTAGATTCACACCAACACAGAGAGGCAGGCACAGAGAGTTCCCACAAACTCCCTGCTACTCCACTCATATAGCCTCTCCCACTACCAACATCCCCCACCAGAGTGATAGATTTGTGGCAACCCATGAACCTACATTGATACATCATTATCAGCTAAAGTTCTTAGGTTCCATTAGGGTTCACTCTTGGTGCTGTACATTCTATGGGTTTGGACGAATGTGTGTTGATACGTTTACACCATCATCGTGTCATACAGAATAGTTTCAATCCTGTGAAAATCCTTCATGCTCCGCCTACTTATCCCTCTTTCTCCTCAACTTCTGGAAAACGCTGATCTTTTTACTATCTCCGAAGTTTTGCCTTTTCCAGAATGCCATATAGTTGGAGTTATATAGGATGTAGTCTTTTAAGATTAGCTTCTTTCACTTCGTAGTATGTATGTAAGATTCTTCTGTGTCTTTTCATGCTTGATAGCTCATTTGTTTTTAGTGCTGAGTAATATTCCATCGTCTGGATATACCATGGTTTATTTATTCATTCATCTACTAAAAAGCATCTTAGTTGCTTACAAGTTTTGGTGATTATGGACATAATTGCTATAAACATCATTGTGCAGGGTTTTATGTGGATATAAATTTTAAACTAATTTGTATAAATACCAAGGAGTAAGCTTGTATAAAGTATTTTTTTTAATTTGCTTTTGGGTTCTGCTGCTACTATTTGACTTAGAATTTTTTACAGTCACATTAATAAGTGAGAGTGGGTTGGTCTATCATATTTTTGGAATTGATGTTATACTGGCCTTGTAAAAACAATTTGGAAGGTTTTCTTCTTTTGAAATGCTCTGAAACAATGTATGTAGCATCTAAGTATCAGATCTTAGGATTTAGAAGAATTTCCTTGTGAACTCATCTGGGCCTGGTACTTTTTTGTGTGGATAGTCCTTTGACATCTTAATTTCTTCCAATAAAATTGGTTTGTCTAGGTTTTCTATCTTTACTAGGTTAAATTTTGGCTTATTTTTTATGTTTTTTAGGTTTTCTAAATTTCTCCTTAATTCGATCCATTAGACCTGCTTGTCCCGAGAGACATATATTAATGTCTCTTATTTGTACTGTTTTTCACTGTGAGCTGAGCAGAAAAATTAATTCAATGCACTGTATTTGAGAGTAAAACAAATAACAAGATATACAACAGGATTCCTCTAAATGATACAATTATTTTTGCTAAAAACTTGTCTAGGTTCTAATCCAGGGACTACCACCACTAGTTTTATGCCATTAGGCATTATATTTTATCCTAAGGCCTCAATCTTCTCCTATGTAAAATGAGGTGAGTTATGGAATTTTTAGAAACCCAATACTTTAATTTACCATTTCAGTAAAAGTACTTTTGAAATAATATCCTTCTCAGCCTCATTACTGACTAAAATAATTGCAATAACCGCTGTCATCTGTTGAGTGCTTACTGTATGCCAGCTCCATGCTTAACACTTTACAAATACGATTTCATTGAATCATGACATATTTGTTTTAGCTTTTTTTCAAATTCTAGAATGTTAGACTCTGATTCAATTGTCAGAAAATCATTCTATTGGTTGAGTATTTTAGGAGACCATCTACTAGATAAATCGGCAGTGCACACTTATATGTTGTTGGACACAACTTTCTGCTTGAGTCAGGACGAGGGTCAGAAAGATCACATTGGGCAAGGGAGCAATTAGCCATTTATTTGTGTTAGTTTCCAGGTTTGGCAGGAAGTAAGACAAGAATGCGATAAGGAGCTCAGGCCTTTACAGGGTGTGATTAGACTCTTGAACAAAAGAACAGAGCCATTTTCCTGGCCAGCTATTTTCTTCCCAGGTTTATACAAGTGCTCCCAAAGTGGTAAAAAATATTGCAGCAAAAGATTGTTCCTTGAGGTCCTCAGAGTTAGTATCCTAACAAGGAGTGTTTAGCTCTAAACTAGTCTCCTTTCCTCTTTATTTATTAGCAACTTGTTAATAAAATAGGGGCAAGTAGTAAGATGATCATACCTTGCCTCAGATTAATTAATATTATACCTGCCTCTTAGGGTATAAATACTTTTTGTTCGTCTTAAATTCACTTACCTATCTGGCCAATTATTTAACATTATTATCTCCTATTACCATCAAGGTAGATAAATACACCATGCCAGTATCAATACTCCCCTCCACCTCACTTCTGTGCTCACGGCAGAGATCAATTACTAACCAACTTATATTGTTTCTTGCCAAGCCTAGATGCAGTCCCACAGCCCTTTCCAATATGGCACCAAGTACAAGACTAGAATTTGCTCCCAAGATAAAATCCATTGCCTTTCTTGTTTAGGCACTCCGGATATAAAGACAAGGAACTCACCATATGGTACAGGATGCAGGACTGTAAAAGATAACTGTAGTTCAGAGAAATCCGTGCTGTGACAGAGAGGAGTTGCTGCCTAACTTAAAAAGTGGTGAATTTAGTTCCTTTAATGGCATGAGGAAGTCCAACTTGCTCAAATGCCTACTCAGTACAATGTACAGGTATGTATTGAATGTCTGCTTCAATAGTTGTCACCACATGCATGCTTGTGTACCAAGTCACAGATGCTTTGAGTTTGATCAGTTTGCAAAACTTGCATTTGCCACAATTGGAGCTGGTAGTCTCTTAGGTGAGCTATTGGGCCAAATGGGTCTTTTGCTATAAATATAGAGGCCTGTTGTAAATAATAGCATGACACCATACTATGTTATTGTATTATCTCTGTGTTTTTGGTGCATAGAAAAATGTGGGCATGGCTGGGTTCATGGCAACCCTTATTCTGTCAGTCAAAGGTATAAGCATATGAGCCATCTATTCACATGCTCAGTGTTGTGTTTCAAAAGAAACAGGTGTGTCTTTGTTTGGCTGAGCATTGCATTTTATTTTCATTTCAAAGTATGGAGGATCTGTTTCAGTATTCCTGCCATTAGTTTAATTTGCTGATTTAAAAGTAGGTATTAACTTGGCATGGCTAGGAGACACCATAGGTAATTAGAAGACTCTAATTGGGGGACATCTGAAAACATTCTGAGACATTTTATTCTAGACTCTCTTAAGTGCACTAGACACAACATGGAACAAGAGTCCTTTCGCTTTGAGTACTGTAGCATAGATGCCTAGAAGGGAACATTAATTAAGAAATTATTAATAACGTTTTCTCTAGAGACTGTTGCCATGATGATTTTGCAGTATTTACTGTGAAGGAAGCAACTGCTATAAAATGGAAATGAATAGAACGGAGAAGGAAAATAGTAGACAATGCTTTACAGACAGATCCACGAACCCTGGAGCCCAACTTCTCTATGAAATTGGCTCTTTAATTTGCATGTATTGTATCAGGCAAAATAGTTTTTTTTTCTCTGAAAAGACTTCCCAGGACCGGAAGGATCTTTTTGCCTTAGAAACCTTTGCTGTGACCCAAGCCATTAATAATAAATAATGTAAACCTACTAGACTAAGAGAAGTGATACAGTCAGAAAGATTATCTTGGAATACAGAGAATGCCATGTAGATTGGTAGTGTGCTGTTTGTGGAGAGTTGAGCTACTGATTGTCAATAAAGTGTGCATTTCAAATAATTTACCTTAATCATCCCGGTACTCACAGATGTACGAGTTTTTTGTGGGTACTGTTTACAACTAATTTTTTCCATTAATGCATATTAACTGAATTCATTACCAAATATCTCTTCTCTACTCCTTACCACTTATTTAGTTTGCTGATTCATAAGCACCAAATTTAATTAAGTAATTCACGCTAGATTCTGTAGCCATATGATATATGTGAACTTGGACTCAATAAGAAGTTAAATTTGATTGTGATACAAACTCGATAGAGAAATATTTTAAAGTCACTGCTTTCTTTATGTAATAATAGTGAGTTGATACAATATCTTTCATTTAGAAACCTTGAATGTCTTAGTAATATTGCAACAGTAGCACAGTAGATAAGTGGGAGTCAAGTGATGTCATTCTGATTCCAAAGGCATTGAGTAATTTGCTGGAAGATCAAACTGGCACCTGCAGGACAGATTCCCAAGGATCCAGTTTCCACTGAGTTTCAGACCTGGAAGTTGCATATCATGTCATAAAACTGAAGCTGTTCTCTCCAGCGTCTAGTGGGAGGCAGGGACCCAGTAATATGCATTGTTACTAAAAGCCTCTCCTTCCCTCAGGTGACTCTGAGGTCTGAACCATGCTATCAGAAATACTGATCCATATCCTGAGGACCATCTAATCCAAATTCCTCATTTTACAAATAGTGCACAAAGGTTAAAGTGACTTAATTAAGGCCTGCTAGCTAATTGGAAGATCTGCTCTCTTAACCCCGACATCCAAGACTCAGAAGTCTAGGAATGTTAGAAAAGTTCCTCGCAGAAATTGTCCAGAAAAGCTTTTTTGAGTGAGTTTGTGGAACTTCCCCCATTTCCTCCTCCCTGGTTGTGAACCTGTATTCCGAGTTAGCATCTCCCTCAAAACATCTCAGATGTTCCAAAACACGGGAAAGAAAGTTGCCAGCCCTGGGCAGCCGCGGGGCCTGTGTGGGGGTGGGTAGTGGGGCGGGGGGCAGGGGAGGCAGGAGGAGGGCTGCTCCGCCCCCGGAGCTCGCGGGCGGGCTCAACACTGGCCGCCGAGCGGCGAGCGCGGGACTCGGCGGCCCGCGGCGGGCGGGGAAGGCGCGGGGCGTGGTTTGCAGCTTTCCGAGATCCAAGGAGCGGAGCGCTCTGTGCTGCGCCCCGAGCCTTCCGCTGGACTGAAAAAGGGAGCGGGAGACCGAGCAAAAAAGGCGATCGAGGGAGCAAGGCAAGGGGGGCGCGGACCTGGGCCGGCCCCAGCCCGCGTCCTCACTCCTCGCGAAGGCCGGCAGCGGGTGAGCGCGGCCGCAGGGCCCCAGCACCCCGGTGCGCCCCACAGAGAGCGGGCTGGGGCGGGGAGGGAGGAAGAACGGGAGGGAGGGAAAGGGGCGGGGGCGAGGAAGGGAAGGTCCCCTAGCCGTGGGCGGGCGCGGCGGGAGACGGGAGCCCACCCGATGCCAGGGTCCGAGCCCGGCCACGGGAAACTTTGTCCGGGTGGGGAGAGCGGGGTGCGTGGAGGGCGCCGCAAACTTGTCAGCGGGCGAGACGCTCCGGGGTTGGAGTGAGCGCCAGCGGGTGGCGTTCGTCTCTCCGGCTTCTTTGTGTCACCTCCGGGCCCCAGCCCGCCGGTTCGCCTGGTCGGGAAGGGGGCTGCGTTGGGGGCTTGGCCCTGATCCGGTCCCCCGCCCGCGTCGTGCCCAGGCCCCAGCGTTCGGGGTATCCTGATTGTTTTCGTTCCCCGCGTCACGCCTGGGCGGGAAAGATTTTGAACGCCGCGTGAGATAGAACGCGGAGAGCCGCGGCGCAGATTGCCAAATCGTGGGCGGCGCGAGGCTCGCCCCGGGGACCCGAGGACGGGCGGGCGGGCCGCACGGGGCTGGAGAGGGCGCAGCGACCTGCTGGGCGGGGTACTCGAGGAACCGCGGCGCGCACGGCAGCCGAGCGCTCGGGCTGCTCGGATTATAATTCCATTTTGATTGCTTGGGGTCTTTGTTGTCTGAAATTGCCTTGCGGGTCTGACGGTAGCACCTTCTCCTTAGGTTATTTTTCTTATGTTAAAAGCAAAAAGCAGGGGGTGGGGGACTTACAGGGAATCAATGCAGCTCAAAACATTAGTCACCCTATTTGGTGGAGGTTGAGAAGTCCTGTGTAACATTTGTCTTTGTGGACGCCTGTTATTTCCGAAAGTTATTATTTTCCCCTCCCCTAGTGGAAGGGAGCGTATGAGCTAGTTGCCAGCAGGCACGATTGTGTACGAGCACCAGCAAGTCAGAGCCAAATCGAGCAGGTTCCTTCTAGCCGCTTTCAACACTTTTGCATCGCTCTTTTCTTTTTTAAAGTTTGTTTGATTTCAGACAACTTTCGTATGCTTTTCTAAACGTTTCCATAGCTCCGAAGTCTTTCTTGCAGAGATAGGCTCGGCCACTTTTAAACATCCGGACCATACCTCGCGCGCTATTTACTTTCGAGACCCTGCCATTGAGGCATCGTAAACATCATCAGGGGAGAGTATTGACCTTTCATGAGATGGAACATTTTGTGTGTTTTTATACTTTACTGCATAACTCCTTGTTTAGTTTTCTTTTTGGAAAACTGCTGAGACTCCCAAGGGCTTTTCCTGAGATAATTACTGAATGGCCGTACCCTCCCCCACACCCCTCCCCCACAAGCACACCGAGGGAGAAGGGAACAGGTGTAATTAATTTTCATTAAGTTTACTAGTGTTGAAGATTCTGGATTTGTCAAAATAAATAAAAAGTGGAAATTCATAGTTCTTTGTCCATATGTTTGAGTTTAGGACCTTTATTTGAATTCAACAAAAATCAAAATCAGATTAGTTTGTCACCTAAGCCTTGTACGTTGATTGTTTTTAAAAAATCATGTGAATAAGTTTACCCAATTAGATATTTTACAAGCATTTTAGTGCTTTAGTGCTAATTATGTTTTCAGGACATTGCAGACTTTTTAAAGAACTGAGTTATAGGCATTATTCTAGGTAATGCCTTCAGTAGTCTTAATAAGTATGGGAAGGGGTGAAAAGCAATTGATTCATTTGTCATTACTCACATGTTTTAAATACAGATTTTCCATAATTTCACAAAATTATTCATTCATTTATTCAAACAAGCTTTTACCGTTTCCTAGGCACTGTGCTGGACTCTGGGGTGCCAAATAATAAGTTACCATTTGTGCTGTCAGATGCTCTACCACTAAGCTACACTCCCAAGTTACCATTTATGGAATGCTTACTCTGCACCAGTAACTGTTTTACATTCATCTGATAAATATTTATTGAGCACCTACAATGTATTGTGGTAGATGCTATAGTGCAGAGTTATAGTGCAGAGGACAGCACTATGTTCTGGTGCTTATCTACTGGGAAGATAGGCAGAACATAAAAAACATTACCAAACTATTCACAGTCTTTAAAAGGTAAATCAGATTACACCACTCCTCTGTTGAAAACCTTCCAATGGCTTCCCATGGCTGTCTGAGTGAAAAACAAAGACCTGGCAGTGGCCCCCAGAGTTTACCCCATCTGGTTCTCCTCACTCCCCATCTTGTCATCTTTTTTATTTTAACTGCTGCTCTTCTTACTCATACTTCTAAACCAAACTAGCTTTCTTGGCTGTTAAAGGGCCTTTGAACTTGCTGTTTCCTCCACCTGGAATGCTCCTGCCTAGCCCCATATCTGTATGGTTCTCCTCTCTTCACTCACTGTTATATTCTCAGTGAGCCTTCACTAAACCCCAGACTTAAAATCACAATCTCCCTGGCAACTCCCATTCCTCCTTCCACAATTTTTTTTTTCTCCATAGCACTATGATCATCTACCTAACATACTCTATATTTTACTCATTCATTTATGGTCCTTACCCCACTAGATTGTACATTCTATCAATGCTGTTGTATCCTCAGAATCTGGAACAGTGCCTGGAATACAGTAGGGGCATAAGAACTGTTTGTTGAATGAATGTTGTTACATGGAAAGAAGGAAACAGCAAGATGATGGGACATGGAATAACCAGGGGTTCCTATGTTAATAGTAAGAAGGCTTCTCTATGGAGGTGACATTTAAGTCGAGACTGATAAGAAGGAACTAGCCACGTTGTGGGGTAGGAGGCTGTGGAGAGGAGAGAAGCATGGAAGATCAGCAGAAGAGATAGCATTGAAAGAGCTCTGTTGTGTAGATTTTCTGAAACTGAGAGAAGGTCATTCTGGCTAAACACTGTCAGCTCAAGGAAGAGATCTAAATGAAGATAGAGTGGTAATCAGGTGAAAGGTCATGCAGGGCCTTGTAGGCCAAAGTTTGGATAAATTCACCTCGAATCCTTGTGTATATCCTATTAGCCCTATTTTAGAGTTTATAAAACTGGACATCAAGGAGGTTAAGTAACTTTCTAAGATTAGAGTAGGTGAATGACACAGCCTAAAATAGGAAGCCAGGCTCAGACTTTAAAGCACTTATATTTGACCATTAACCAACATCAGAACACATAGTCTCTGTCCTGATGGGGCTGTTGGTCTAGTGGGAAGATAGGCCATTGCAATATACATAGAAAAGATGTATTCATGGGGGGCTGTGGTAGGAAGGAAGCATCTAATTCTGCCTGAGAGTTGGACAGGCCAAATTGGAAAAGATGAAATTATTTTTTCTTTATTATTACAAAATATTTCAGATTGGCTATATCTTAATTAAGAAATAATGTTAATGTTAAATGCTGTAGCCTATTCTTTAAGGCTTCATTTTGTGTTTGCTTTTTTTTTTCTTGTTTGATTTCATATCTAGCAATGATCTATGTCATATGCCCTTTTCCTACTTTTACCAACTAAAGGATTGTGTCTGGAATCATGTAAAATCACGTGTGTTTAAAATCACATATATTTAAATTCTAATTCTTCATGACATTTCAGGTTATGCTCTTCCTCTTTGATTGTTTTTATCTTAGACTGTCTGTACTTTGCAGTTTTGTGTGATAATTTTTAAAATAACTCAATATATTGAGTATAATTGACATACAGTAAACTGGACATATTTAGAGTGTAAAATTACTAATTATTTTACATAGATAGACCTGTAAGACCATCTCTCCCTCTGGCCCTTCCTTTTATCCTCTTTCCCCAGACAACCAGAGAGAGCTTTCTGACCCTATGGATTAGTTTGCATTTTTAGAATTTTATATAAATGGCTTCTTCCACTTAACATATTATTTTGAGATTCATCCACGTTGTTGTGTGTATCAGCGGTTCATTCCTTTTTGTTGCTGAGAGGTATTCCATTGTATGGATATATCCCAGTTCATTTATCTGTTCACCCACTGACTGACATTTGGCTCCCCCCCGCCCCCAGTTCTTTTGCTATTAAAAATAAAGCTGCTATGAATATTGAACATTATGCATCATCTTTGTGTGGACATCTGCTTTCATTTTCCCTGGGTAAATGTCTAGGAGTGGAATAGCTGGATCATATGACAGGTATATATTTCAAACTGCTTATACCATTTTATATTCCCAAAGTAGTATATGAGGGTTCAAGTTGCTCTGCATCCTTGTCAACACTTGGTATGCTCAGGCTTTTCATAGCTATTCTACTGGTTGTGTAGTGCGATCTTATTGTGGTTTTAATTTACATTTCCCTGATGACTAATGATGTGCTTATTTATCATCCGTATATCTTCTTTGCTGAAGTTTCTGTTTACATTTTTTGCCCATTTTTTATCGGGTCGGTGGCTTCCTTATTTTTGAGTTTCTAGAGTTCTTTACTTTCAGTCTGCTGCCTGTCTTACATTGCTCATCTTACATACTCTTCATTAACAGTATTTCTGATCATCTAAAGTTTAAAATTTTAATGAAGTTCAGATTATCAGTTTATTCTTTTATGGATTTATTCCTTAGGTATTTTTGGTGTTGTACCTAAGAAATCTTTGCCTGACTCAATTTCACAAAGATTTATTTCCTAACTGTTATAAAACTCTTAGGAGTTTTTTATTTTACATTTAGGTTCATCTACTTTGAGTTAATTTTTGTTTGTGGAGCAAAGTGTTGGTTGAAGTTCTCCCTGCTGCCAACAGGAACATGTGGCGATTTCAGGAGACAATATACTGTCTGGAGACTGATTTTTTGTGTGTGTTGACGGGGGCATTTGCTAATGGTTATCTAGTGAGTCCAAGCCAGAGATGTTACTAAAGATCCTACAATAAAAAAGAGAGATCCTCTCAACAAAGAATCATTTGGACAAAATGTCAATAGTGCCAGGGTGAAGAAACCTTAGGCTAGAGGTTTATCAATTTTATTG